CAGGGCGGGGGGGGGGCTGCTTTTCCCCCGGCCCCCTCCCCGCCCGGGGGCCCCCCCCCCCCCCCCAACCTCCCCCCTTACCTGAGGTTCCGGCACCAGTGCAGCTACATGGTCCCAGGCCAGAAGCCCTGCTGGGTCCCTGGTTTGACAGGAACCAAGGGCAGATCAATATTCTAATTTTTTTAGGGGCCTCATGGGCTGGATGGTATGGCCTCACAGACCAGATTTTGCCCACCCCGTGCTAGAAAAATGCAAGGAAGACCCTCTTTTCATTATCACCACCCTGCATGGGTAACCTGCCATTCAAACCATCTACAACTGTAAGAACGTAAGAAGTGCCATACTGGGTCAGATCAGTTGTCCATCTAGCCCAGTATCCCGGCTCCAATGGTGGCAGGGTGGGTGTTATAGAGGGAGGGCATTGAACCTGATTCATCTAGAGTGATCTATCCCCTATTCAATACCCTTCCTAGGGTCTACCGTTATTCATTTTGGGATGCCAGAGGAAACTCCTCCAACTTTTCTATTTAATAGCCATTTAATAAATTTATCATCCATAAATATATCTAGTCCCTTTTTGAACCTGGCTGTTATCCACCTTTGCCACCTCTTGTAGCAATGGATTCCACAAGTTAACGAAGTGTTACATAAAAAATAAAGTATGTCTTAATTTAAATCTATTGCCTACTAATTTCAGCAGGTCCCCTCTAGTTCTAGTATTTTGGGGCTTGGTGAACAACTTGGACCTGCCACTGCTATTGTAACTTTGATTTTGTTGTTGTTGTTTTTTTTAAAGTGAAGAGCTGGACTATTTTGGCTCCAGTTTCATATGTGCAGAACCTAAGCCTAGGGGTTTGGACCCATGAAACTAATAGCATTTGCATGAGCTTCCCTGTATTAGCTACCTTGTCTACCAATGGCTGACATGCCTGTGCTATTTGTTTTTAAAGTTAAGTATTTGGATACATGTGTGCTCTGAAGTTCTTCGTAATTTGATTCTTACTAAACTGGCAGGAAGTTGGATGGAGACATCCTGGGTCCCGTTTTGTGTTTAAGCAAAATGATGGCTAGTTGCAACAGCTGATTTCAGAGGGCTGAATAGCAACCCGGAAGAGAGAATTAAGGCGAGAGGCTAAGTACTTTAAATTCCATAGCTTAGGGGTATAAGAAAGGAAAGGCAGCAGGGTCTGAAATGAGAGTCGAAGTTCCAGCTTTGTTTCCTGGCACTGACTGACCTTGCATTATTGACTTAATGTCTGTGCATCAGTTTCCCTATCTGTAAACTAAGGGAAATGCTCAGCTTTCCTCTGAATGTAATTTGAGAGAGATGCACAAAGAGTGCTTTTTTGTAAGCATTATTATTACTTGGAGAGGTGATAGGATGTTGTCTGTATTCCCTTATTGAGGTGATTCAGAAATGGTTTTTTCTGGCTTAAAATTCTCTCTTCCCTACTTCCTGTTATTCTCACTCTTACTTAGATCCAGGAACTTTGTTTCTCAGTTTATCCATTTTCTAAACAGGTCCTTCTGTCTTGAGAAGATGGGCTTTTTGGCATGGTATGATTTTTCCATCTCTTCTTTTAGTGTACATATACTACATAGACTTTTATGCAGTCTGTGTGCATGGCCTCCTGTCATATAAAAAGAAAAGCCAACATGGTAAAATAAAGCAAACATTGAGGTGAATTGGATGGGTTTGAGAGTTCCTCTGAGAGTTCCAGTGCACAGTAGTAGTTTAAAAAAAATCAATTTTAGGGCAGTTTTCATCAGAAAATACTGTTTCTGTTGAGATTTGATTAAATTTGTTAAGAGTCTAAGCCTAAAGACTCCTCACTGACAGCAGAAACTAAAGAATCAAAATGGAAGCAAAATAAGATCAGGAAAGAACAGGATGAATATACAACAAACAAGTCTAGGAAACCCCATTACCACAGACTCTCTTGGAACTGTTTCCTCTCATGATATTGGTGTCTCCTGCTTTTCATTTTTTAAAAAGCTGTATGTAACTATCTGTGCACAGATTTTGTGAGTGCATGTGCAAACCTAGCAGGAAGGCTGTGCTAACTTTAAATGGCCCTGTGTACTGCAGTTGTGAGTGTGCATGCAAATGGAAGGAGCACATAGAAATGCAAACCACTGTTTAGGTAAAGTTATGCTGTTTACATTTGAGAGGAGGGAAGTAATTTGAGTGGTAGACTTACATTGCACATACCTGCTTCAGCAAGTGTTTAGCAGTTGAGGTTTTTTAATTGTAAATTTAAGTGTGGAAGAGCATATAAGGTCAAAGGTCAACCTTAGCCATATGGCTTCATTAGGCTGACATAGCAAAGGCCATCAGTTTCTAGAGCCAACAGCACACATGGGTGTGGAATAATAAGTATTGCATTCAGCTACCTTTTTTTGTATCCCCAACCAAAAGGACCAGGTACCCACTTAGAACTGAGTCAGTTCGGGGTGGTCTTTGGCACAAGTCAAAGACCACCATGCCTCTGGAGTGGTACCAAGGCTCCTTGACCACTTAGGACAAGATGACAAAGAGAAGAGTAAGGACTTTGCATGAAATGCTCCATGCTAGGTAAGTTTCTACTTGCTAGGAATGGTACAAACTTTGCCTGTCTGCCCGTGTGCTACTATTGTTACCACCAGGGTCTAGTCACATTTCCTGCACCTAATTTGGAATGGGGGCCCTTCACTCTCACTTGCAAGCTTGTAGTAAAAACTAAGTCTCCTGGTAAAGCAACTTCAGCACAGAGCTGTACCAAGAGGAGGTATTTCAAGTCAGTGTGGCAGGAGGTTTGGTGCCGCTTTAAGAAACAGGAAAGCTAGTGCTGAAGCAACCTTCAGGTGCAGTCAGGGTTGATTATGGAGTCATCTGACCCTGGAGGAAGGCTGGGCTTAGGTGAGATATAAGCCCAGGCCCTGAGATGAGCCTGCTGAGAGGACACCTCAGCAGGGTGGCTGCAGCTCTTGAAGGTCAGCTTAGAGAGTACAACAAGAAGTAGTCTGGAGGTTTGG